GTTTTTAGTATAACAAATTGTTATTTTATTATCTTTATTAAAAGATTCAATGAAAAATAGATACTATCTCAGCTTTTAATTATGCTACAAATTCAACTATTCTGTCAATTAGATTCAAAAGCTAATATAAATAAGAATCTAAACTCAGTTAATATTTTTCTATATTTAATTTATAACAAGGATAATTGGAGCAACTGAAGTTGATATCTCACTAGGTTGTATTCAAAGAATAGTAGCATTTGTTCTTTTATGTTAGACTACTTTTTATTTTCTGCTTTTTTATTTTTTAATAGTTTAGTCCAAATGATTTTTACTGTTAAACCCAAATTTCTAAAACAAATTGGATTAAACAACTAGACGCCGTTAAAAAATAATTAAGTAAAAAAATTTTTTTAAAAATTATTAATTTAAAATTTTGTATAAATATGTCTATGAAGTGATATACGCTACTATAAGATTCCTTATTTTGTTATTTTATTCTATTTTATTTAATTAAATCTACGAGCGAATTTCAGGTTACTACATATATATACGTATATGGAGATTGATCTATCGCATATTTCTAATACTAAAATCATGATAAATTTCAGATTTCTTAGAAATACCTTTAATTTCAATCAAACTAACCAATTTTTTAATTTCAAAGTATTGCTATGTTTTTTAACAATATGTAATTTATTAAAAATCTCTGCTAATGAAGGCGTCCCTTCTACTCCTGATATGGAAAATTTAGTTACATTCTCAATGGAATTTTGCGAGAGCATTAGTTCATGATTCCTGCGCACCAAACCATGCAATACTTAGTGACGGTACGCAACATTCACCTGCAATAAGAAAGATTTACCCTATTACTGATCAAGGAGGATGTGACGATATAAATTATAATAATTTGGTTACTTATTATATTAAAAAATGGTGCTCTGATCATTTTAGAGTTTTATATACACTCTATTTTCCTAAAGATGGATTTTGGGGACCAGCACTTGGGCATGACCATGATTTTGAAGGCATAATCATGACTTGGAAAAATGTATCCGGATTTTGGTATCGCGACGAATTATTAATGCATAGGCATCATGATTGGACTCACGAACCATGGAATAATGTTTTAAGTTTTAATTATAATGGCACAGAAGGAAACGGATTAGAACTTCCAAAAATATATGTGGGATGGGCAAAACATGCAATGTTTAATAATAAATATACTGATTATACGAATATCATTGCTCAATTCACTGATTATGAGTATAGATCTGATAATTATCAATTATGGGCTAGCAATTCTCTAATAGAAGTTACTGATGATAATTGGTATGGTCAAAAATTTAAAGCATACAATTGGGGCGGGAAGGCAACACCTCCTACTGACACTGATATATGCAATGCATAATATTGAAAAATATTTATTTTAACTCTAGTAAATTTCTAATGAAATATCATATAACCTATCTTCCATTAATATAAAATTTTAATATTAATTAATTAATTGGGCTGGAGCGGAGGTGAACGGAGTGGAAGACCTTCGAGTCTTACTCTTAGAAATTTTGTCTATGCCCAGCTCCTGCCCCTTTAAGTATGATAAACTTTATTTTTTATTTTCTCATGTAAAATTCCTAATCAGAAATTCAAAATTTGAATTGATAATACTTATAAGTATTTTGTAAAAGCAAACTGATTAATAAACTTATCAATTGTTCGATGTATTTAAAAATACAATAACACAAAAGAATTTATACGGTTCTGCTCACTTCACCGAAAGTTCACTTAGCCGACATCACATAGGGTTTGGGTTAGCATTTTATTAGTGGCAGAGATATATTGTTAGTAAATTGTCATTTGGCGTAAGTGAACTGTCAGTAAAGGTGAAGTAAGGAAAATCCTTATTCTTAAGAATATTGTCACTTATTGAAACTTTAATCATTAATCCGATCATAGAAAATTATTTTTGCACAATAGCAAGCTGATTAATAAACTGATAATTACAGGTGATGTCACCTAGGGTGAAAATTAGTTAAAACTTTTAAAAAAAATAATAAATTATATTGTGAAGTATAACTCTAAATCAATTTCATTATAGAATTTAAAAATATAAATAGTGTTTATACTGCATAAAGATCTTTTGATATTACCTTTTCCCTTGATTAATTCAATAATCTATAAAATTAATTTTTTCAAATTGGTTAAAATAAACCTTAATTAAGTTATTAGATCAAATTAAAAATTTTATAATAAATCTCTGTAATATTTTATTTCTTCAGAAGCAATTTGATTATAAG